TCTTTCCCTCTCTATGTGTCTTGTGTGTCTTGTGTGTATATATACTTTTTGTACTTTTCGCGTTATCGTGTTTATCGAACGTCGTGAGTGTGGATAACATAACGACGGTTAACGCGGCTTTTCCCTCTCTATATACGTCGTGTGTCTTGTGTGTATATATACTTTTTGTACTTTTCGCGTTATCGTGTTTATCGAACGTCGTGAGTGTGGATAACATAACGACGGTGGTGCCGGTTAACGCGGCGTGGCTACTACGGGCTTTAGCTCGTGCGAACGTTTTGCCACATCATGATGTTTGGTTCACTAAACTAACCACTAGCATGGCGGCGACGACCGACCGACCGACCGACAGACACACACCGCGGCGCGCGCTAGTCGCTTACGCGCTTTGTCGCCCCACTCCCTTCTTTCAGCTCACCCCATCTCTGTTCGTCCCCTCTCTTCTATCCCTTCTATATATATATACATATCTCTCTCATACCTCTTCATCGAATGGATCCATCAGTATGTATCTTCCCCGTCGACGTCGCCATTGTCGTTTTCGTCCGTTCGACTCAACGCCAATCGCGTGTACGTGCACTTTGCCTCGCGTCATGGCAGCTTATGAATCTACCTTTATGGCGGGAATATTAGATCTGTAGGGGAATGCGTTGAGAGAGTGTAGACAGTTACATACATTTCCTTTTTTTTTTTCAGCAACAAGTGGTAAAGTTATTATACATGATGATCCTCCTTTTCATTGTAGCCTTCGATTAATGAAGAACTTTCTTGAAAAATGTACTTGTAATTTATGATCCTATATTCTTTCAAAAACGTAGGAAATTAAAAAAATTGAATTTTACAAAATATACAATATATTTTTTCTAATTAGAAAAAAATTTAGCCTATTCGTATTTAGATAATACAATTTTTCATTATATTTTTAATAAAACGCAATATTTGTTGTAAAAAATATAAAAAAATAAGAATACAGATCTCTTTTTTAAAATGAGACAAATAAAATATATAATTTTTACATAATGTGTGTATAAAATCGATACATGATATTTATGTAGTTATATATGTATATTTTGTTGTTTGTTAGGAAAAAGACACATATGGAAATGAAGTAACAAGATTGGGGAGACCTTTGCCAGTAGAATATTTATTAGTGGATGTACCTGCATCCACACCACTTACTCCTCAATTCACTTTCTTCACGGATGACATCACTCCATTTCCAGTTGAAAACAGGTATTATCTATAGTTAAATAAATCTATAAGCAGATATCAAACCATATTAATAGATTTATATAATCACAATAATGTTCCTAATTCAGACAAGTTGATGGGCAAGTTCAGGAATTTAATGCATTGTGCACTTATATGCAACAATTCAACGCGGATCAATTTTTGGAGGCAACTTCTGATTTCCATTTGCTTCTTTTCATCGCTACCATGGACATGTATCCGATGAAGGTACCATCGATTAATTGATTAATACTTTTTTCTATTCAATGATGTGTGCTTAGTAATAATAATGATATTGATAAATATTTTATTTTGCAGGATCATATGTTACCTTTACTCGAAGCTATTCGCAATAAAGATAAAGAGAAGGCATTAGAGTGGGCCCAATCAGAGCATTGGGCGACAGTGGAGCAGCTCATATCCGCGGCTTCTACATCGTCGCGTTCTCCGCAAGCCACGTCCTTTGGTGGTAGCTCGAGGACATTGCCTTCCGCGACTGCGGAGGGCAGTGGAGGGGTAGGCGTCGGTACAGAGCCGATTGCGAATCCGCCTCCGGATCAAGCTCTCTGGACATGTTCTCATTGCACTTTTCTCAATGCTGCGGATTTAGCAGTTTGCGAGATGTGCAATTTACCAAGGTACTCGTAATAAACTGTCAAAGCATTAACGATGAATTCCACATGCGTTTACGGGGGTGCTGTCTTTGAATCTACTACTTTGCTTCCGCAGGATTTGACGCGTACCGTGTCCTTGCGGATATAACAATTGTTTTCTACGCATCTTTGGCCTTATTTATGAGTGAATAAAAAAAAAAAAAAAGACAAAAGCAAAAGCATTTCCTTTTCCTCACCTGGTTTTTCTTCCTTTGTTCTGTCTCTCTAACATTTCTTTTTTTTTACAGGTAGTTTCTAACAATTTGTTTAGATGTTTTAAATATGAACCTAACAAGATGTCTTGTAAACAGTTTTGATATATGAATTGTGTCTAATAGATCAGAATTATTTATTATAAATTTTTATATGTTTGCAGAGAAGATGTGGAAGAGTATGATGAAGAAATGATGAGAGAATTATTTTAGTAATAAAATTATGAACTCAAAAATACACATACAATAAGTTAAATCAATACTGATATAATTATGAAATTTATGTCAATTATTTGCCATTAGATAATTTTTAACTGTATAGATTTTTATATATCATATATTATATATTACAACATATATATAATATAAATAATTTTGATTTTTTTGTGTAAAAATTAATTTAAAGATTACTTTAAACATTTTGGAAGTTTTGTAATTATTCCTGTAGTACACGCAGCAATTAAACAAGGTACGGAGAAATTTAAATCAGCATGTCCTTCCAAGAAGGAAAAACCGAGAAAAAAATGTACTGATTCTAAATTGGAGAAAGATGAAGAGACCGATATAGGTCCGCCTTGTACCGAAAGACGACCATATATACTTCCCAGTCAAATTTGCCCCAAAACAGTCTCTTGTTGTTATATAAAAATGCAGGTATAAAAAGAAAATAAAATACATCAATGTTATCGGGAAATATCTCCTCCATTACAATCAAATAGCATTTTATAAATTCGACTGAAGAGAATAAATCCAAATTTACATAAAAAATTTCTTTTATATATATATGACAAATATATTTTTTATTAAAATTATAAATAAAACATTAATTAGGGAAAATGAAGGCAAAATTATTCTTCTGAATATATATGGAATATATGTGTACTATAATATGTAGGATAGTTTGCAAAGCAACAATTATCACGAATGCAATTAGGATATATAATTGATTAATATAAAGAAATTGTAAGTATATAGACTATTTAAAAAACGTCCTATATATATATTTATTCAAACTATATTTTAAATATAATTTCTCTCTTATTATTAATATATAATAATTGACATACAGACTTCCACTTTCTTCAATCTTTATTATAACATAAAGTCCTTACAGCTGATCCTTGATACGATAGCATTAATAAGACTAGAAACACGCAATTCATCTTTATCGATTTTGTAAGTTTTCTTTACAAGATTCACATCTGTAAACTCTTGTATTCTTGAAATAGGTACTCTCTCTCCCTTGATACTTCCTAAGATTTCTTCTAACATGGATTGTTCCTCGCCAAGCTTGTGTATCAGTATTACCAGAATATTCTTATCACTGTCATCGATACCAAATTCAGTCAAGGCACGTGATATCTTTTTAGACATTGACAGATAAAATAAAATCTCTGTGTATATAGTCTTGGTGATTAATCGATTCTGCTTAGCATTAAGGACAACTTTGTTGGCAGCCACCACTGCCTGAAAAGCGTCTATTATAAGCGAAGCTTTCACCATACAACAACGAAGCTCTCCAGTGACGACTTTCTCGCGAATTTCAGAGACATTTGTAACGTCAGTAAATAAATACATTGTGCAGTAAAGCCCGGTCTCTCGATCCAATTCAACTCTGTAATTATCCATCTTAACCTTTACAGTCTCGACAATTACGGTTACTTCAATCTCGTCTTCTACTAGAAAATGCTTAAGAGATATTTATTCGCGCGCGTCACAGATTAGCGATATTAATAATTGCTTGGAAAATACGTGCAATTTTGAATATAATGTAAACACACGTGGACGCACGTCATAATCTCTGATTTTATACGCATGATAAAAATTTGTTGTGTGTGTTGTTAACGCCCTTACAGCACAGCGACTAAAACGAAAAACACTAAGTCAAAAGCTCATGGTAAATGCAAATCAAATGATAATAAAAAAAATAGAATTTAATACGAAAAAAAAAGATACGCGCAAAAACAATAAAAACAATTTTTATTAAATATAAACAAAATGCATAACAAGAATACTCTATGAATCAAGAAAAAAAAGAATTAACACAAGAATAATTAAGAAATACCTTTTACTAATAAAATTAATATATTTGGAAAAAGATGGATAATTTTTTTACTACACATTTTTATTACACAAAAATGCGTCAATTTTATTAATTTAGTATATAATTAAATTTTAAAAATATGTCGATTTATATCGTCCTGACGTCGCAAATGATCGTCATAGACATAAACAAATGACATATATTTATTGTATATTTTAATTATTATTATACAACATTTTATTATACATTTTGAGATTTTGTGTTTATATCACGCGAATTAAATGTCACTGTTACATTCAAACCATTTAAATACGAGTTTCTAGCTTTCTAAATAAATGCGATATAAACGCATATACGCGATTATCGTAATATTCATCGCTGGTAATCGATAAAGCGCTATAATTCAATATTCATTAAATAATTTATCGTTCTCGGTAATATTATGGATTACATAAGTAATCGCTCGTATATGTGACACAAATGGAAATTGCAAAAAGTGTAAACTGATTTTCGCGACGCGATAATCGAAAAACTATGATGAATGTAATGTATATATGTATATATTTACATACGTCATCCGCGTCGTGCGCGAACTCAGCTATGCTATGTTTATATAATACATTATAAACAAAGCGGTCGCTCATCCCCTCTATCCTTCTTTGTATATTACCTGCGTATAGGACCGCTCTACGCATTCACTAAAATGATAATACGGGTAATACCACCTTGACTGTCGCGAGGAGTAGACTGAATTTTCGCGATTCTCATTCGTATCTTAAAGTCCTAAACGAACGCGTCACTCTACTGCGATCTACTGTAGTATCGAGAGAGAATAATTATCTAATAAATATTCTAACGCTCAGGATATCCTACATGTATGTCCTGGATGCTCTTTGGACGTCCTAAGGACATCCTTGTGCTGTCTGGGTAGTGATAACAATTATTATAATTATTTTATGATATTCGCTCCATTTGACGCTTTTTTCGTTTCGAAGGGCAAGATATTTTTCGGCCTGATTGGTCCATTAAACGCTTTAAAGCGAAAATAGCGTCAAATGGAGTGCATCCAACGTGATTTAGGTCGTGTTCCAAAATTCACTGGTACTGAAAATCTATAATTCACGTAACGTATATTATAGATTTCCAGTATTGACAGTGAATTTGGAACACATCCTTAATAGAAACTAGCGAATAGAAAAACTTTCGAATGATTCACATGCCACAGTTGGCGCGAATGAGTGGCAGCCATATTTATTTCGCGTCCGAAATTTCGTGCTTTGCGCTCGTTTATATAAAGTATATCGCGATTATTTTGGCATCGGGATGCTTTTGTGATGGAGATATTCGGCTCGAGTATCGCGAATGTCGAACAAACAGAATCGGTTAATTACAGTGATTGATCGCTTCATTTTTCGTTTTATATATAATATATCGCATCAGTATTAGTGTGGATGCGTTCTATCAAGTAAATTCTGTGCAACCGGGAGTGCCGACAAAAGTATCGCGAGTGTCGAAAAAAACGGAATCATTCCATTGCTGCAATTAATGCTGTGATCGCTGCAATTATAATTACAATAAGGTATGATATTACAAATCATTTATTTTATATCCGAATTACGATTTCAACGCGTGCGATAGTTCTGTTAAATGAATTTTGTGCAATCGTAGCTCAGAAAGTATTTTGTTAAATATGTAATAAAATATTAAATTATTCAATATAACGGCCCCCTCTCTTATTTTTTAAACGCATATTTTGTAGCATATTTATTCAAATTTGCCGAAATATATAAAATATATATGAATTTAAAATAATCGGAAAAAGGAATTTTATATTATTGGAAAGTGACGCCAACTATCGATAATACTCACTAACTCGTAACGAAAAATTTTTAGTCGGTAGGTAACGTCATGCGTTATCTTATCCTTTTTCTGTGAGCTCCTGTATATACGTTGCTTTAAAAAAATGATATAATGAAATTGAATAATAAAAGAGATAATTATTTATTGCCTTTTAATAAATGTTTAAATGAAAATAAATATTTAGTAAATTTGTCTTATCGGTGACTTTTTTAAGATTTAGTGATTTTTTTATTTTTCTAAGATGTCAAATTTATTATATTTATGCAATATATCGGTATCATTATTAATATTGATATTTTTAATAAAATAATTATTAATAATTAATATTATTAATGTTGATTAATTTATTGTTACGATATAAAAGAATAAAAAGATGTCAAATAAATAATATTTGCCTGAAATACATGAAAATAAAACATACACTTAATAGATATGTCATCGTTATGATGCATATTTAGAAACATTTTTTTTTCTGAAAAAACGTGGCGTTTAAATAAAAAGTATTTGTAATTTATATTAGTTGTCTTGAAATTTGCTATTTTTTTGCGACAGTGTGTATAGTTCATTTGTCAAACGACTGCTAACTATTACATACTACATTCTCGTTGCATATCAAGGAAAATTCCAAATAATTATTTCTCATAATAATGAAATTTGAATAACAGGCCTGATTTTAATCATCGTTCATTATGATGGATGACACATCGCGCGGAAGTATTATGGATCAATTATTCGACTGCGGTAAATTTGTGTCTTTTAATGTTGAACAACTGGTGTACAAAATAATCTCGTAGAATCTTGTAATTCAAATATTATATATCATATATTATATATTACAACATATATATAATATAAATAATTTTGATTTTTTTGTGTAAAAATTAATTTAAAGATTACTTTAAACATTTTGGAAGTTTTGTAATTATTCCTGTAGTACACGCAGCAATTAAACAAGGTACGGAGAAATTTAAATCAGCATGTCCTTCCAAGAAGGAAAAACCGAGAAAAAAATGTACTGATTCTAAATTGGAGAAAGATGAAGAGACCGATATAGGTCCGCCTTGTACCGAAAGACGACCATATATACTTCCCAGTCAAATTTGCCCCAAAACAGTCTCTTGTTGTTATATAAAAATGCAGGTATAAAAAGAAAATAAAATACATCAATGTTATCGGGAAATATCTCCTCCATTACAATC